AAAAGCTGGTTTTTTGAAAAGATCAATAAAATTGACAAACCTCTAGCAAGACTGACAAAAACAAGAGAATACACAATTACCAATACCATGAATGAAACAGAAGCTATCACTATAGATCCTAAAGCCATCAAAAGGATAATAAGGGAATGCTAAGAACGGTTCTATACATAAATTTGAAATGAACCAATTCCTCAAAAAGCCCAAACTATCACAACTCATTTAATATGAAATAGATAATTTGAATAGTCCTATAACAATTAAGGAAATTGAATTAATGATTTAAAAACTCACAAAAAAGAAATTTCCAAGGCCTGAAAGTTTCACTGGCAAATTCTACCAAAAATTTAAGATTAATTAACACAAATTCTACACATCTCTTTCAGAAAACAGAAGGGGGAACACTTCTCAACACATTTTATGAGGCCAATACCATCCTGATACCAAAATTAGACAAAGACAGTATAAAAACAACTGGATACAGACCAATATCTCATAAATATTCCCCAACAAAATATTAGCAAATAGAAGTCATCACTATGTAAAAAGAATTATACATCATGACCAAATGGGTTTTATTCCAGGGATGCAAGGCTGTTCAGCTTGAAAATCAAGCTATGTAATATACCATGTTAACAGGCTAAAGAAAAAAAGTATTTATCATATTAAATGAGAAAGAAAAAGCATGTGACAAAATTATACATCCATTCATAGTAAAAACTCTTAGCAAACTAGGAATAGAAATGAATAGCAGGGAACTTCAACTTAATAAAGAGTATCTACAAAAAATCTACAGCTATATCACAGTTATCAACACTGAATGCTCTTCTCTTAAGATCAAGAAGGCAAGGATGTCCACTCTCATCACTGCTATTCAACATGTTACTGAAGTTCTAGCCAGTGCAACAAGGCAAGAAAAGGAAACAAACTACATTCAGATCGGAAAGGAAGAAATAAAACTATCCTTACTTGCAGATGACATAATGGTCTAGTAGAAAATCTCAAGGAATCTATAAAACAAACTCCTAGAACAAATAAGTGAGTTCAGCAAGATCACAGGTAAAACGTCAACACAAAAATCAACTGCATTTCACATACTACCAACGAACATGTGAAAAGTAAAATTAAAAATACAATATCACTTACAATTCCCCAAAAATGAAATATTTAAGTGTAAATCTAACAAAACATATACAGGACTTACATGCTGAAAATTACAGAACAGTGATTAAAAACATCAAAGATCTACATAAACAGAGATACTATGTTCACGGGAGACTCAATATAGTAAAGATATCAATTCTCCCCAAATTGATGACAGGTGTAACGCAATTTCTAATAATTCTTGCAAGATTTTTATAGATTAGACAAGAGGATTCTAAAATTTATATATAAAAGCAAAGATATTAGACTAGCTAAAACAACTTGGAAAAAGTAGAATAAAGTGGGAGATGTTGACTTGATACTAAGGCCTATTACATAGCTACAATAATCAAGACTATGTGGTAATGGCAGAAGGACAGATATACGGACCAATGGACTAGAACCAAAAAATAGTCCCACAGAAGTATAGCCAAATGATTTTTCACAAAAGAAATTTGGTAGAGAAAGGATGGCTTATTCAACAAATGGTGCTGGAGCTATTGGATATTCACAGGCAAAAAAAAAAAGAAAGAAAAAGAAAAGTGAACTCAACCTAAATCTCACATCTTATACAAAAATTAATTTAAAATGCACCTTATACTTAAATATAAAACGTAAAGCCATAAACCTTTTAGAAAATAACATAGGAGAAAATCTTCAGGACCTAGGGCTTAGGGAACAATTCTTAGACTTGACAACAAAAGCATGACTAAAACAAAAACTGACAAACTAGATTTCACCAAAATTAAAAAGTTTTGCTCTGTGAAAGACCTTGTGAAGGAAATGAAAAGACAACCCATAGACTGGGAGAAAATATTTGCAAACCACATATGAAAAATTACTCATACCTAAATTATATAAAGGATTTTCAACATTCAACAATAAAAAAGCAAACAATCCAGTTAGAAAATGGGCAAAAGACGTGAAGAAACATTTCACCAAAGAGCATATACAGATGATAAATAAACACATGAAAAAAATGTTCAAAATAACCAGCCATCAGGGAAATGCAAATTAAGACCACGAGATACCACTACACACCTATGAAAACAGCCAAGATAAAAAAGTGATAAAATCAAACGTTGGTGAGGATGCAGAAGAACTTGATCTCTCACACTTTACTGAAGGGAAGGTAAAACGGTGCAGCCACTCTGTAAAACAGTTTGGTAGTTTCTTAAAAAATGAAATAATCACTTACCATGTAAACTAGAAATCGCACTCCTGGGCATTTATCCTAGAGAAATGAAAACTTAGGTCCACACAAAACCTGTACACAATGTTCATAGCAGCTTTATTTGTAATAGCCAAACCTGGAAATGAACAAAATGCCCTGCAGTAGACATTCAGTTTGTATTATACAAGCTGGTACATCCAATCCATTGAATACGACTATGTAGTAAAAAGGAATGAACTATAGATATACACAACAACTTTAACGAAACTAAAGGGCATTATGCTGAGTGAAAAAGGCCAATCTCAAATGGTCACATATACTATGATATAATTTATATAACAGTCTTGATATGACAATTATAAAGATGGAGAACAAATTAGTTATTGCCAGGAGTTAGGGATTGTGGCAACGTTTGTGGTCAGGATGGGTATGACTATAAAAGGTCAGAAAGAGAGGAATCTCTGTGGTGATAGAATATTTCTGTACCTTGACTGTAGTCATGCTTACAGGAATCTCTACATATGTGATTTAAAAAAAACATATACATACACATTGAAACAGTGCCAATTTCTTGGTTTTGATATCATAGGTAAGATGTAACCATTAGGAGAAATTAGGTGAAAGGGTCACAGTACCTCTCTATACTGTCTTTGTAAGTTCCTTTGACTCTAAACAAAATAAACATATAAATAAATATAAATAAAGTTAAAAAAAAAGGGCCCTGAGACTGTTAAAACTGCTTCCTCGCCACATAAGACAACATTAGGTCACTATCTTAAAACTTATTTTAATGTGTTTTTCTAACTGGTTAACAATAAACAAAATTATATTTATATTCTATTTCTGAACATCACTGAGTCATGAGAAAACAGAAGATAGGTAGAAAAACAGACATAATCTCTCACATTTGTGAATTTAATCCAGACAAGTTTACAGATTTAGCTACTCAAGAGTAACCCCTCAAATCCATGGAGTGTGTGTGTGTGTGTGTGTGTGTGTGTGTGTGTGTGTGCGTGTGTGCGCGCGCGCGAGTGATGTGTGTATGTGTGTGTATATATATATACATGATGAATCTGAATCAGAGACACTTTCTGGCATATGTTTAGGAGGCTTAATTTGTTAGTGAAAAAGCCAAGCTGACAGCTCAACATCCACATTTCAGTGTTGTTCCCTACTAGTTATCAAATATGACTATTATGGGACAAAACATATGCTATTACGATATTTACAAATTTGGGAAACTGAGCAAGCCAAAAGTTTAGATTAAATTTGACAAATTAGACTAGGATAACTCAATAAAATTACTTCTTCACACTCGTGCACAAACAATAATTGTTTAAAACATGGCAAACAAAATATAAAAATGTACTTATTCTTTAAAAAGTTATGTAATCATTTTTAAAGTAACTTTACTGTACTCGAACAATCCCTTTGTAAGCTCTCCCAGACTCTACAGATTTTAAATACCTAATAAAAATATACTCCTCCTATGGTCTAACTGGAATTTCCCTAGTTTTAACCCTAGGTGTAGTTCAGGACTCTGTTAGAATTAAAACACGTTTTACACACAAAATATAATACCTTTCATACTTTAGAACATTTAGTAAGTCATATCTTAGCCATCTTTTCATTAAACTAACCCCATCTCTTCATCACTTTCTTAAAGGCAATGCTTTCAACGTGTATGTGTGTGTGCAAATGTTTATATGTATGTATACGCATAAATTTTTCTCTTCCAAATGCAGTTCAAGTATGTAATTGCTGATAGTTAAAAGCAACATCAACATCACCTATATAACACAACCTCTACCTGCAGTTGTTTAAAGTATATTATACAAATTCTTACAATAAGTAAAGAGATCAAGAATACCTTGTTAACCTTAAGACACTCTAACAGATGTATCACCAAAGATGATATAAAAATGGCCAATAAGCACATAAAATGATGCTTGACATCAACTAACATTAGGGAAATGCAAATTAAAATCACATGAGATTCCATTACATACCTATTAGAATGGGTAAATTTTTTAATTTTTAAATATGATAATACCAAGGACGCAGAACAACTGGAACCCTCATACATTGCTGGTGGGAATGCAAAATTGTACAACCACTTTGGAAAACAGTTTGGCAGTTTCCTACAAAGCTAAACATAAATTTACCATATAACCCGGCAATTGCACTCCTGGATTTTCATTTCACTTGGATAAATATCTATGGTCACACAAAACTTATACATGAATGTTTAAAGCACCTTCAATTTTAATTTCAAAACCTGGAAACAATTCCAATGTCTCTCAAATGGAAATGGTTAAACAAACTACTCATTCACACAACGAATATGTCCATAAAATGAAAACAAACCATACATCCGTACAATGGACACATCCATACAATGGAATACTACGCAACAATAAAAAGGAGCAAGCTATTGACATATGCAACAATGTGGATGAATCTCAAATGCATTTTGCCATGTGAAAAAAGTGAGACTGAAAAGGCTACAAATTGTATGATTCCATAAGTGAATTTCCTAAGGGGTGATGAAACCATTTTATATCTTGACTACATCTTGCATTTGTCAAAAATTATAGTAGTAGACACTAAAAAGAGTAAATTTTACTATATGTAGATTTAAAATGATTTTTTTAAAACTATCTATACATTCAGAAATGCTTCCTACCTCACATTAGTTTCATCATTAAATTCTTCAGCCCATTTTTTCCTTGATTGAGCAGTTGTAGAACCATCTAAACGGTAATAGTCTATGTTTCGGAGCCACTTCCCTTCACCTGAAAATTCAACAAGAAAAGAAAAAAGAGACATATTGTTATCCTAGTACTAAACGATTTTCTTCCTTGCTTGCCATTTAAAAGCTGGTCATAGGCCTTCCCTAGTGGCACAGTGGTTAAGAATCCACCTGCCAATGCAGGGGACACGGGTTTGAGCCCTGGTCCAGGAAGATCCCACATGCCGCAGAGAAACTAAGCCCGTGCACCACAACTACTGAGCCTGCGCTCCAGAGCCCATGAGCCACAACTCCTGAAGCCTGGGTGCCTAGAGCCCATGCTCTGCAACAAGAGAAGCCACCGCAATGAGAAGCCTGTGCACCGCAATAAAGAGTAGCCCCCACTAACTGCAACTAGAGAAAGCCTGTGCACAGCAACAAAGACCCAACACAGCCAAAAATTTAAAAACAATTTTTTAAAAAAGCTGGTTATATATATTCAATTTGCATAGCAAGACAAATTTTTTTAATCAAGGGATAATTCATTGTATTACAAATAAATTCACTACAGATTTCCTTCCAACAGATATTGAATAGCAAAGGTACTTTTCAAAAGTATTTCATCTACATGTAAATGTCTGAAAAGATTTCCTTGATTAGAATCCTATAAAACTTTCAAAAGAATATGATTAAGCTGTATTATGCTCATGAAGCTTCTTTTTAATTAAATCTATAAATGACCAGGTTTCCCACCTTGTTATCAACAAGTTGATACTAAACAGATAAAAACCAGAGACATAGAACACATTTATTCATTCACTGAACAAATATTTACAGAATGCCTATTTATGTGCCAAAAAATATTCTATGATTTAGCCACAAATATCAGTATATGTTCCTATTTCATGACAACTACATATTTGTGAGCATGTATGTACAAGTAAAGAACTGTGATTTTATAAGTTAAACACTGATCAGACATGTCAACATTTGCACAGTGCGATAAAATTTTACCCAAGCCTGACATTCATACTAAAACACCAATGGATAAAGTACTTATGACACTTTTATATTTTATCATACATAATTTCCATTCTAATTCTTTAACTGCAAACATAATACCACTACTTCCACTCCAAGCAAAATTCATATCATCACACCCTAGAGTCTTAATATAAAACAAGTTGACAACACTGAGATTTATGTCTTTCAGCAAACTTTTTAGTTAAATTCAGTACATTAGTAAAAGATGCTCTTTTTGGTAGTATGGTCATTTTAGTAATGTTAATTTTTCCGATCTTCCGATCCAATGGCCATACTACCCAAAGCGATCTACAGACTTAATGCAATCCCCATCAAAATACTCAGGACATTTTTCACAGAACTAGAATAGATAATCCCTAAAACTCATATGGAACCACAGGACCCCAAATTGCCAAAGCAATCTTGAGAAAAAAAAGAACAAAACTGGAGGTATCACCCTTTCAGACTTCAGACTATACTACAAAGCTACACAGTAATCAAAACAGTGTGGTACTGGCAGAAAAACAGATGCATAGATCAATGGAACAGAATAGAGAGCCCAGAAATAAATCCACATACCTATGGTAAATTAATCTACAACAAGGGAAGCAAGAATATATATGGAGAAAAGTCAGTCTCTTTGGTAAGTGGGTCTGGGAAAACTGGACAGCTACATGTACAATGAGATTAGAACATTTCCTCACACTGTATTAAAAAATCAACTTTAAATGGATTAAAGACCTAAATGTAAGATCTGAAACCATACAACTCCTAGAAGAGAACACAGGCAGAACACTCTTTGACATAAAGTGTAAAAATATTTTTTTGGATCTATTTCCTAAGGCAAAATAAATAAAAGCAAAAATAAACAAATTGGACTTAGTTAAACTTAAAAGTTTTTGCACAGCAAAGGAAACCACTGACAAAACGAAAAGAAAACCCACAGAATGGGAGAAAATATTAGCAAACAATATGACCAACAAGGGGTTAATATCCAAAATAAACACACAGTTCATACAACTAAATATCAACAAACAAACAACAGTATCAAAAAATGGGTGGAAGACCTGAACAGACATTTTTCCAAAGAGGACATAGAGATGGCTGACAGGGACATGAAAAGATGTTCAACATAGCTAATTATGAGAGAAATGCATATCAAACTCACAATGAGATATCATCTCTCACCTGCCAGAATGGCTATCATCAAAAAATCTACAAATAACAAATGTTGGCGAGGATGTGAAGAAAAGGAAACCCTTTGTATACTGTTGGTGGGAATGTAAACTGGTGCAACCACTATGGAAAACAGTATGGAGGTTCCTCAAAAAACTAATAGAACCACCATATCATCCAGCGATTCCACTCCTGGGTATATATCAGAAAACCTGAAAACACTAATTCAAACACATACATGTACACACATACATGTACACAGCAACAGTCAAGATATGGAAGCAACCCAAGTGTCCATCAATGGACAAATAGATAAAGAAGATGTGGCACGCACACACACACACACACACACACACACACACACACACACAGAGGAATATTACTCAGCCATAAGAAAAAGAATGAAATTCTGCCATTTTCAGCAACATGGATGGACCTAGGGAATATTATGCTTAGTGAAATAATTCAGAGAGAGAAAGACAGATACTGTATAATATCAGTTATACGTAAAATATAAAAAATAACAAATACAAAGGTATACTGCAAAACAGAAACAGACTCAGAGATATAGAAAACAAACTAGTGGTTACCAGTGGGGAGAAGCAAGAGAGGAGGCATAAAGGAGGCATAAGGGATTAACAGATACCAACTACTATGTATAAAATAAATAAGCAACAGGGGTATTGTATAGCACAGGGAATTATAGCCATTATTTTATAAAACTTTTAATGAAATATAACCTGCAAAAATACTGAATCACTATGCTGTACACCTGAAACTAATATAATATTATAAATCAACTATACTTCAATAAAAAAATCTACTCCTTTGAGAATTTGGACTAAAACAAACAAAACAGCAAAAGTAAGTATGTCTCATCAAGTCAAATTTTGTTTATGTCCTAAGGACTGAAATATCCTACAAGATTCAAATATTAAGGATTTCTGGAATAAATGATCTAGTTTTATTAATGATATTCCTACAAACAGGATGTGTTTCAATTGTTTTCCTTTTAAATAATATTATAAGTTTAAAAGTCTTAGGATACATCTTAAAGTATATAAGAATAAATTATTCCTGAAAAAAAATCTAAAACTAACAAATTAATAAAAATAAACCCCCACATGATCATCTCAGTAGACACAAAGAAATCATTTGACAATGTTCAATACACATTCATGATAAGAAAAACACACTCAAAAAACTGGAAATACTGATACAAGGAACTTCCACAACATGATAAATGATATCTATGAAAAAAATACAAAGAACACCATACAGAATGGTGAAAGATCAGATGCTTTCCCTCTAAGATTAGGAAAAAGAAAAGGATGTCTGGTTTGGTCACTTTAATTCAACACCATACTAGAGGTTCTAAGGAGGGAAATGGTCAAGAAAAAGAAATAAAAGTAATCCATATTGTAAAGGAAAAAGTAAATTATCTCTATCTGCAGATGACATGATCTTGTATAAGGAAAATCCTTTAAAAATCCACAAAACACTATTTGAACTAATAAATGAGTTATTATGAAAAACTTAATTTATACATTTGCAATGAAGAATCTAAAACTAAAAGAGCACAATTCCATTTACAATACTATCAAAAAGAATAAAATAAATTTAACATAAGAAATGCAAAATGCATACACTGAAAACTATAAAACATCAGTGAAAGAAATTAAAGACCTAAATAAATGGTAAAACATCCCATGTTCATAGATCAGAAGACTTAACATTGTTAAGAAGGCAATACTTCCTAAAATGAACTACAGATTCAATGCAATCACTATCAGAATCCAAGCTGACTTCTTTGTAAAACTTACAAGCTAATTCTAGAATTCATATGGAATTGCAAGGGACCCAGAATAGCCAAAAAAATCTTGAAGAGGAACAAAGTAGGAGGACGCACACTTTCAAAACTTATGTTCAAAGCAAAGGTAATCAAGACTGCTACTAGCATGAGGAATGACATACAGGTGAATGGAATAAGACTCAGAGCCAAGAAATAAACCTGTCTCTTTGGTCAACTAATTTTTAACAAGGGTACCATGAACAGTGAATGGGGAAAGAACAGTCTTCTCAACCAATAGACTGAAGTTGGACCTTTACCTCATACCAAATGTAAAAATTACTCAAAATGCATGAAAGAACTAACTGTAAGAGCTAAGACTATATAATTCTTTGAAGGAAACATAGGGGTAAATAGTCATGGACTTGGATTTGGCAATGGTTTCTTAGATATAACACTAAAGGCATAAGTAACAAAAGAAAAAAAATAAAATTGGACTTCATCAAAATGAAAACCTTTTCCGCATCAAAGAATACTACCAAGAGAATGAAAAGACAACGAAAAGAATGAGAAAATATTTATAAGGCATGTATCTGATAAGGGCCTGGTATGCAGAAAATTTTTTTTTAATTAAAAATATTTTTAAGTCTTTCAACTCAATAACAAAAAGACAAATGGGCAAAGGACCTGAATAAACATTTTTCCAAAGAAGATATACAAATGGCCATGAAAAAATGGTCAACATTATTAGTCATTAGAGAAATACAAATCAAAATCAAAATGAGATACCATTTCACACCCACTAGGATGGCTATAATTCAACAACAACAACAACAAAAACAAGTGTTGGTAAAGATGTGGGGAAATCAGAACCCTTGAACACTACTTCTTGAGAATGTAAAATAGTGCAGCCAGTGTAGAAAAGAGTTTGGTGGCTCCTCAATACATTAAACTTAGAATTGCCATATGGCCCAACAATTCCATTCCTAACTAAATATTCAAAAGAATTAAAAACAGATGTTTAAAGAAATGAAAACTTGTATACGAATGTTCATAGCAGAACTATTCACAATAGCCAAAAGGAGAAAACTACTCAAATATCTATGAATTAATAAATAATCAAAATGTGGGTATTACCTATGAAATAGAATATTATTAGGCCACAAAAAGGAATACAGCACTGACACTTGCTACAACTTGGATGAACCTTAAAAACATGCTATGCGAATGAAGCCAGTCACAAAAGACCACATATTATATGACTCTATTTATATGAAAGATCCAGAATAGGTCAATCTATACAAACAAAGTAGATTAGTGATTGCTTAGGGGTAAAGAGGTAGAAAGGGGGTTAGCAGAGTGACAGCTAAAGGGTACAGGGTTTCTTTGGTGTTGATTAATATGTTTGAAAATTGACTATGGTGATAGTTACACAACTCTGAAAATGTACTAAAAACCATTGAACTGTACACTTTAAATGGGTAAACTGCATGATATGTGAATCATAACTCAATAACGCTGTTTAAAAAAAACAAAAAAAAATTTTGCTACAACTGCAGCAACAAACACCACATTTATATGGATAAGGACAAAAAGAAAGGACAGAAAAAACAGATATATTAGGGTTGTGGGTCTGGGTAATACTGTTTTCTTCTATTGTTAAAATGTGTATACAATATGTTTAAATGAATGTTTTAAAAATTATGATATACAAATGTAACTCACCCTTATAAATAAGAGGTTTATCTTTATCTTCTGTCTTCTCCCTACTAGCCAATTCAAGAAAATCTTCAATCAAGTCCAGAGATATGAGAGACTGGCTGAAAACAAGGCTAAAAAGACAAGTTAGTATTCATGGATAAGAAGATTCACAAACAACATGATTCTAATCTAAACTTCAGTAAATATCCAAAAGAATTAAAAATTAGAAATTTGTAGAAATTAAAAAGCTGATTCTAAAGTTTATATGGGTACGGCAAGCACATAGAGTAGCCAAAACAATTTTGAAAGGAAAAAAGCTGGAGGCCTAACTCTACATGATTTCAACACAAAGCTAGTGTAATCAAAATAGTGTAGTACTGAGGAGACCAACACAAATCAGTGGAACAGAATATAGTCCCGATATAAAGCTACACCATAGTTAATTGGATGTTGACAAATAGGCAAAAGCAATTCAATGGAAAAAATTAGTATTTTTAACAATGGTCTTGGCAAAATTGGATATTCATATGCTAAAAAAATGAATTTCCGCCTAAGCTTCAGCTGCACAAATAGGGAATAGAAGAATCTGATTTGACAAAAGTTCTTCTTAAAAATAAAGTCTTAGTTGACCACTAGTCAATATGAACCAATACTGTTATTTGGATGTTAGAAAACTGCTCCATCAGACTGCAGGAATGGAAGGAAGGATAGGGTCCAGAATAAACAAGAACCAGTGTCACTATAATTCTGTGTTAATAAAAATTCAGCTTAAGTGTTTGTGACCATATTTTGAGATAAGTGCTAAAAAAATGAAGTATATCCAAGACCATGTCAGGACTGAAATTATGCCATATAAAGAACAGATAAAACAACTGAGAAGAAAAAGCTAAAAGTGACGAGAGATAAACCCACCATTATCTGAAGAGACAATTGAAATAGTAGTAGTGATGTCTGCAACCTACTTTGAAAGGCATCAGGAAAATAAGATGGATGATGGATAGATATGTAATAAATGAAGTATGATAAAATATAGAATATAGTATAGATTCTAGGTGACAGGTATATAGGTATTCACTCTAAAAATTCTTTCTACTTTTTGTTATGTTTGAAAATTTCCATAATGAAATGTTGGACAAATAAAGAGTAGTGGTAATCACAATTCCAGAAATGCAGTTTTATAGTCTTAACGTTGATAATACCTATCAGTTGGGTTAATAACTAAAAATGATCATTATAACAGTATTTTTAAAAAGCAGTAGATATATCCTATTTTAGACCAGGGAGGAAATAGCTATAGGGAGAGTATAAACTAAAGATAAGGATCCATTTTCTAACACTTTGAAGTATTCAACTATAGGGAGCCTTCTGAGATGGAAAATATTCTACCCAGGAGAGATCAGGAGAACTTCCATGATGAACATGGTAGAAAAGATTATTGAACTGGTTAGGAAATTAAAAGACTACTAAAATTTCCCCTATACTCATAAAATTCTTGTATGGTATCCAATAAAAATTAACTTTAAACTACAGAAGTTAATAGATAAAAAAGCATAAGCATGTCTAGAGCATTAATCTCTCTTGGTCTTTCAGGAACTCTGAGCTCAAATATCCACTTTCTACTTGACATCTCTCACGGACATCTAATAGGAAACTTAACAAAGCCAGAGCAGGACTCCTTACTACCTCTAATAAACTTACTTCTCCCTTAATCTTCTCCATTTTAGTAAATAACACCATAATCTACCAGCCACTTAGGGGGAAAGCCTGAGGGTCATCTTTGACTACTCTCTCCTTCTTACTGCCCTGCATTCAATCTACCAAGTGCTGTTGTTTCTACTCCAAAACATACCCTTCATCTCCACTACTACTACTCCATTCCAAGCCAACATCATCCCTTATCTGAACCACTTGTTTCTGTATAAGTGGCAATATGTAAGAAAAATAACTTATAGTGAGTACTTATTAGATGCCAGGTGAAGGAGTTAATTAAAAAGGAATAAAACAGTTTGTGTCTTCAAACAACTCACTATCCAGCGAAAAGACACAAGTACATCAGAATGTGTTAAGTGTAGAGTAGAGGTATATTAAAAGGTGGTATGAAAATATAACAGAGCTACCTCTTTCCAGGAAAGTTAAAGAAACTAAATTTGACATTTTTTAAAGATAGAAGATTGTTTTACTTTAGCTTTATGTTAAAGTGCTTAAATTTTTTAACAAAAAATGGTTATATTAAAAGCATTATATTTTAAAAATATTTTATGACCAGAACTTGGGATCTTATAAAAGCCTAAACAGTAGGTCTGGTTCAAAACTTTAAAAGTATGTTTTTTAAATAATAAAATGAAGGATAAGATTGGGGGTTGGAATCCAGGGAAGGGAAAGGGGGCACAAATGCTAGAAGTAAAATAAACAGGAACAAAAAACAAAGGAGAAATAATAAAGAGAGTAGTCAAAGAGGTGAAATAAAGTCTGAGAGGTGTCCACTAGATTTGGAAATTAGAAGGTCATTAAGTGACTTTAGGGGGGAAAACTCAGTAAAGTAACAGGGTAGAAGCCACACCACATTGGATTGAAAAATGATTCTGAAAATGATGAAATACAAACATCAACTAGAGACTTGGCTCAAGGAAATAAGTTCAAGATACTATAGCCAGAAGGGGAAAACAGCACTGAAGAAATAACCAGAATATGCACTCAGAAACAGTGACTTAGAAGGAAGACAGCTGTCACTACACTAACCATGAAATTGCATCTTTAGAAAAGAAGAAAACAAAACAGATTGCTTTAAATAAATTGTTTAAACAATAAAAATGTTATCAAAATGTTCATATAATAAAAATAGGAAAAGAACTTACACTTTATCCCCAATTTCCTCTGCCATTCGAAGAATTTCAAAGAGAAGTACCATTTTTCCAGAATGCTCTAAAACCTCGGCATCAGCATCTGTAACAAAATCTTTGTACCAGTCTGGAGCTGGGCTGCTTGGATTAGAAGAGGAAGTAGCTTTACCTAAACAAAATAAATGAAACATAAATAAGTAGACAAATAAGGGAAGAAGCTGAAAGACTCCAGAGAGGGATTAAGACAGAGATTAAGAGAAAGACATATAGACCAACCAACCCAAGGAGAGTGAGAAAGAAAGAGATTGATAAGTATGTGGGAGATGGGTGCAAAACACACACACACACACACACACACACACACACACACACACACACAGAAGGAGAGAGAGAAAAAAGACAACCCTAGGAGAGAAAGAGCTCTATACTCTGAGAGAAAGACACAAGATGGGGGAGGTAAAGTAGAGGGGACCCTGGAAGAGGGAGGTAAAGAGACAGAGAATCAGAAAGACACACAAAGGCACATATAAACATACACATATGTACACAGAGAAAGAAAGTCATGGGGGAGGGGCACCAAGTGAGAGAGTAAGCAAGAGACAGACCCTGAGAAAGTGCAAGTATGAGAAACAGAACGTGGGGGCAGGAGGGCTCAGAAAGACAGAGACCCAAAGAGATGAAGCCCCTCAGGTCCTGAGACAGTATAACCTCCAAAGCATACCCCAAGAGACAGGGACCAGGAGAGAGAGACCTAGAGACCCAAAGAGAGAGGGAGAGAGGAAAAGAAGAAGGGAAGGGAGTCTGACTCATGTAGAGATCAAGGGAGAAAAGATCTTAGGGGCAGGCAACATTTCACTGTGCTACTAGAATTCTGGAAAACTCAAACAAGGATTGATCCCAGCATCACCATATCAGGTTAAATCATTTTGCTCTTACTTTCTCCACAAACTTTGATGATAAAAGGTGTAAACAGATTGCCAACAGACACATGAAAGAATGCTCAACATGCAAATCAAAACTACAATGAGATATCATCTCACACCAGTCAGAATGGCCATCATCAAAAATTCTAGAAACAATAAATGCTGGAGAGGGTGTGGAGAAAAGGGAACTGTCTTGCACTGTTGGTGTGAATGTAAATTGATACAGCCACTATGGAGAACAGTTTGGACGTTCCTTAAAAAACTAAAAATAGAACCATACGACCCAGCAATCCCACTACTGGACATATACCCTGAGAAAACCATAATTCAAAAAGAGTCAGGTACCAAAATGTTCATTGCAGCTCTATTTACAATAGCCAGGACATGGAAGCAACCTAAGTGTCCATCAACAGATGAATGGATAAAGAAGATGTGGCACATATATACAATGGGATATTACTCAGCCATAAAAAGGAACAAAACTGAGTTATTTGTAGTGAGGTGGATGGACCTAGAGACTGTCATACAGAGTGAAGTAAGTCAGAAAGAGAAAAACAAATACTGTATGCTAACACATATATATGGAATCTAAAAAAAAAATGGTCATGAAGAGCCTAGGGGCAAGATGGGAATAAAGACGCAGACCTACTAGAGAATGGACTTGAGGGTATGGGGAGGGGGAAGGGTAAGCTGGGACAAAGTAAGAGAGTGCCATGGACATATATACACTACCAAACATAAAATAGATAGCTAGTGGGAAGCAGCCACATAAGCACAGGGAGATCAGCTCAGTGTTTTGTGACCACCTAGAGGGGTGAGATAGGGAGGGTGGGAGGGAGATGCAAAAGGGAAGAGATATGGGGACATATGTATATGTATAACTGATTCACTTTGTTATAAATCAGAAACTAACACACCATTGTAAAGCAACTATACTCCAATAAAGATGTTAAAAAAAAGGTGTAAGAAGAGAATAACACAAAATAATCTATGAAAGATATAAACAGTTCAGTTTAAAATAAGGAATGTACAGGTTTAACCTGTTTCTGTATCTTCTCTCAATTGCCTTTTAATGCAAAGTACTTTAAATTTTTATGTATTTTGTTATAAAATATTTTACATATTCAGAAAAGTATATAGAATATAAAGAACAGCAGTGTTCCCATATCCCATCTTCATCAAATTTTAAAATGCGTTAAATCTATTTCTGATGCAACTGAAGCCTAATATGTGACCCTAACCAATAATGTTCTCTTCTTTCCCCCCTTCTTTTGGAAAAGTAATAAAACCCTAAACTTTATATTTACTATTTATGTTCATGTTTTTATATTTTCACTACATTTGTATTACTAAACTGTAATTATGTATCATGTTTTTAAACTGTATGTAAATGGTACCATACTGTTTGTATAATTTTACAACCTACTTTTTCACTGAATGGAGTTTTTCATTTTCCACTCAAAGTGGGACTTATTCAATAATTCTAACTGCCATATAGTATTCCACTGCATGAATATACCATAATTTATTAGTTCTCCTGTTCATAGACATTTAGATTATTTCTCATTTTTGGCTACTGTGAAATAACTGCAATGAAGACTCAGTGTTGTATTTTTCTAGAATGTTGTCTACTTCATCTAAGTTTAAAATTTTCTGTTATAAAATTATGCTCATGATTCATATCATATTAAACATACCTACTTTATATTCTTTTTTTTTTTTTTTTTTTTGTGGTACGCGGGCCTCTCACTGTTGTGGCCTCTCCCGTTGCGGAGCACAGGCTCTGGACGCGCAGGCTCAGCGGCCATGGCTCACGGGCCCAGCTGCTCCGCGGCATGTGGGATCTTCCCAGACCGGGGTACGAACCCGTGTCCCCTGCATCGGCAGGCGGACTCTCAACCACTGCGCCACCAGGGAAGCCCCCTACTTTATATTCTTATCAAATAGTTCTAATATCTGTGGTTCTTGACAATCTGATCATGTTTTTTGTTTTAACTTTGTCAGGTTGACTGATAACTTATTTTGTTGCTAACTTTTCCTAATGTTGATTGCTTCTTTAGGTACTCTGTAACTTTTTCTTGTCATTTCACTTTCAATGTAGCTGTAATATGAGAATCCTCGGTAGCCTGGGTTGACATCATACAACTCCACAGTGATTCTGCATCTGCTTCTGTCAGATGCTCCAGGGGATCACCAACCCAGAATTACTTTTGAGGTTAGTATTTCACCTTGAGATATTTAGACTATGTAAATAATGTAAATTCAAACCATAAACCATGTGAGGGAAAGCCCATGATTATGAATCCAAGAAAACTATTTTTGAAACCCACAGCCCAGGGTGACACAGATAAGCTTCCTTGTCATCTCCTTATCACCTCCCTGGATTGATGGGAAAATTTTTTTCTATCCTATTCTTCTATGGAGTATGTACCTATGTTAAACAGATTCAGCTTAAATCTGAGTTCTAAGAACTCTCCACCTTATAGAGGGCTCAAGGCCTTGAATCTTACCCCTGAGTAGGTGAAAACCAAAGCTGCTACTCTCAAGACTAGCCTATCCCTAGAGCTTCCATAGCATACCTTCTTGAACTTACTGTTTATCAGTTCCTTCTTTTTTGTCTGGGTCCTGGTGATTTCCATTCCTTTTACAGAGCTCATTATGCATTTGTATTTAAACCACAATTAACTACTGCCTAAATGTACCACGTATTTTCATGATTCCATGCCTTTCCTTGAATGTCTTATATTACATTCTCCCCCTCTTTTCTTGACCAACTTCCAGGCATATTTTACTATCCTTCAAGAGTCAACAAAAATTTCATCTTAGAACAGCCTTCTTAAGAGGGTGACCCTTGGCTGTTGTCTGGGAACTTGAATGGTAAACCGTTCCCTGTACTGATTTTAAACTTTCCCTGAGAAGAGGGGATTGCTGCACCTCATCTAGGCACCTAGAAAGAAAACACCTGTTTTCGTTCTGGGAGTCTGGAATTTGTTAAGAGCCAGGCAGAAAGTGCCTATGTCACCAGTCCCCAGTAAAAACCTTGGGTACTTAGTCTCTAATGAGCTCCTCTGGTAGACAACACTTCACATATGTAGCCATAACTTGCTGCTGCAGAAATTAGTACATCCTGTGTGACTCCACTGGGATAGGACTCTTGGAAGGTTATGCCTGGTTTCCTCTGGACTTTGAACAATATGTGCCTTTTCCCTTTCCTGATTTTGCTTTGTACTCTTCTGTTGTAATAAACCATAGTGCTGAATATGACTATATGCTGAGTCCTATGAATCACCAAACCAGGGGGTAGCTTTGAGGAATCCTGACACATAGCTTATCAAGCATATGCTAACTAAAATTCCTTTCTACAATTAGTCAACTGGCAAATAATCAGTGCCTTTGGGAATTTTGCAGTTCCACAGACTGAACACAACTTCAGCAATGGTTACCCAATTTAATTAAGGTAATTTATATATGGTAAAAGTGTAAGCAATTATTTAAAAAAAGCTGGCAGAAAGTTAGTACAAATGTGGCAGCTAAATAAGAAGTGTAAAAGCACAGATGACCATTTCTGTGCAAATACAATACATTCATTCTAACTGTAATCCTGTTCGATATAATCACAACAGAGTAATCTCTAAAAAAAATAAAAAGTGACCCAGAGGGCTTCCCTGGTGGCGCAGTGGTTGAGAGTCCGCCTGCCGATGCAGGGGACACAGGTTCGTGCCCCGGTCTGGAAGGATCCCACATGCCATGAAGCGGCTGGGCCTGTGAGCCATAGCCACTGAGCCTCCGCGTCCGGAGCCTGTGCTCCACAACAGGAGAGGCCACAACAGTGAGAGGCCC